GGTTTGCTGTTTCCTTCTCCAGCTCATTTTGCAGCTGAGGAAACTGAGGCAAACAGGGTGAAGTGACTTGCCCAGAGTCATATAGTTAGTATCATAGGTCTGGTAAAAAAAAAAAAGGGACGGCAAGCCCCCTAAAAATATTTTTGTTCTCAAGGCATGTACATTCTCCATATACTAATAAGAAATATAACATAATTTTAGGAGAGAAAGAATATTAGCCACTAGAGAAGAGGTCTTTAACTTTTATCTTTTTTTTTAGTCATGGCTCCCCTTTGGTGCTCTAGGAAACCCTCTGGTCCCTGTCATAGAATAATATTTATAAATGAATAAAACACAGGATTATAAATGAAACAAATTAAGATTACTATGTATGTATATATAGTAATACTAATATTATTCTATATATTATAACAATTTCATTATATATAATATTATTTATGTATAATTTTATTTGTTATATTAATATTATATATAATATAAATAATATATAGATATATAAAATATATATTAAAATAATTTGATAATAAAAATTTATTTATACATATATCTGAATTCATGGACCTGGTTTTAGAGCTCTTGCCCGAGAGGGATCAGGGAAGGTTTCACAAAAGAGGCGGGATAGGATCTGAGCCTGGAAGGAAGGGAGGTGAAGGGCAGCTCAAAGCCATTAGCAGCCCAGATATTCTGGGCAGTCTTATCGCTTCCTCATGACTGGAGCACTGATGAGTGCAGGAGGCTAGCTCTTCCCCACTGAGTACCTGTGACAGTGGGGTGGGCCAGCCCATCTCCTGGGTGCTAGGGGAGGTGACAGAAGGCAAGGTATTCAGCCAATTGTCCTCCTCCTGAAATCTGCTCTTACAACCTTAATGTCTTCCAGTCTTCTGGGGAGTGTCATGGCAACTAAAAGCATTCTCGGAAAAAAAAGTCTTTCTTTGTGTGTTCTGTTAATGCCTCTAGAAACTTGGTTTCCGCTGATTTGTTTAACTAGATTGCCAAGAGAACACTTTGAAGAGGTGGGATGTGCACCTGCTTGTCTAAGGGAAGGAAGCTTGATCTCCTGAAAAACCTGCAGAACTCTCACTAGGGTTAGGCAAATGGCACTTTGTCCAGGGCACTGAAATTTAGTGGGTGATGATAGCACTATCCCAGCATGTACCCTGAGTGATCTCCCAGACTGTCTCAAACCATTCTCCACCCCCAGTCTGGCTATCCCTAAATGCAAACATTCCTAGTGATGGCTCTCCAGATCTGGGCTCGTACTGCTGAAGGGTACAATTTGGAACCACTCTGGGTTTTGCCATGGGGTTCCTAGGAAGCCACAACTATGGTTCAGGAGATTGGACAGAGCAGGTGCTCAAATAGTGTTAGTAATAGGGAATGGAATCTTGCTGGGGTCTGAAAGCTGAAAGCATCCCCATGGGAGTGCTAGGGAGAAGGGATTATTGAGGAGGAAGGAAAGGCATTGAGTGTAAAGTTGGACCTGTCTCCAGCCTCGTCAGCACTGGCCTATGTTATCAGAACTTCACATATGTGCCATCTGCAGTAATGTAATTATATAATTTATAACAATCAGTTTCAATTTCAACCACTAATGGATCCAAGCCTGCTAACAGAGCACTTGGGAGCAGGCAGGTAGGATGGCAGTAGGCAGTAGGCTCTATTGGCCTGCTACATCCTGGGCTAGTTAATTAGGCAAAAATTGTTTTTCCTAAAAATTCTTGGTAAGTCCCACCCCCGGAGGTTGGAAAGGAAATAAGCATTTATAAAGCACCTACTATGTGCCAGGCACTATGGTAAGCACTTTATAAATATTATCTCATTTGATCCTCACAACAACCTTGGGAGGTAGGTGCTGTTATTATCCCCATTTTAGTTGAGGAAACTGACTTTAGCCAAGGTCATACAGCTAATAAGTGTCTGGGTTGAGATTTGAACTCAGATCTTCCTGACTCTGATGCCAACACTCCATCTGCTGCATAACTAGCTGCCTCAAGAGGGCAGCATTTGGGGGCAGCTAAGTGGTGCAGTGGATAGAGCACCGGCCCTGAAGTCAGGAGGACCTGAGTTCAAATCTGACCTCAGACACTGGACACTTATTAGCTGTGTGACCCTGGACAAGTCACTTAGTCCCAATTGCCTAAAAAAAAAGACAGAAAGAAAGAAAGAAAGAAAGAAAGAAAAAGAAAAAAAAAGAGGGCAGCATTTGGCCCATTGAGAGCATGTCAGACATTCTGGGGCTAGATCAGTCTTCAGAGGCAGTCAGAATGATTAAGAATGACAGCATACAGTTATCCCTTCCATGTCATGATTTTCCTCATCATGGTTTCGATATATCAGGGGTCGGCATAAGAAACTATACAATATATGTATAGTACTGTATAATGTCAACATATTTTATCTTTTAATGCCATAATAATTCAGACTTCTTCTCTGGTACGAAGGGAGGGCCAAGAATTCTACATGGATTTTCCCGATTGAGGGGTTGCCGCACCCCCAGCCCCGGTGATGTGGATAACTGTAGTTATAGTGTAGCCCAATGCTGGGTGCCAGGTGAAGGCCCCATGGAGAAGGAGACAGAATTCAAGCCCAGAAGATCTGGTTTCAAATCCCATCTCAAACGTCTCCTAACCAGGTGACCTTGGGAGACCCTTAGAGCCTCAGTTTCCTCTTCTGTAAAACGGTCATGATAACAGTAATGACCTCGAAGAGTTATGGTGAGGATTAAAGGAGACAAAGTATGGGAAGCATTTTTCAAGCCCTAAAACCTAAATGCATGCCAAGTACCCAGATAGGCCCAAAGCACAAAAATGGGAAAACCGTCCCTGTCTACTCAATTGTAGGGGGAATAACAGGCGTATAGATTTAGAGCTGGAAGGGACCTCTGAGATCAGAGAGTCTAATCTTCTCATTTTACAGATGAGGAAACTGAGGCTCGGAGGTGAAGTGACTTGTCCAAGGTCACACAGGTAGGAAGCATCAGGCACTGGACTTGAATCCAGGTCCTCTGATTCCAGAGCCAGGGTGCTATCCATGGTAGCCCATTCCTTCCCTGTGATATGTTAACCATGCCTACAGTTTAAAGCTAACGTACTGAATTAATTGAATTTAAGCAAACCCATTGATACTTATTGAATAGTGAATATTAAGCTATTGAAGCTTAAAACTGCACTAAGACTTTTGGGACACCTTACATGTATATGGTACCCACGTGATCATTTGAAGAGGCAGGAGATATCACAGATTGAGGAGGAAGAGACATTGGCCCTGAATTTGGAGAGTTTTGGGTCTGTTGATGGAGACCTGATCCTTGTCCTGAGGGAACTTCTGGATTTAAGAGGGAAACATGGTTTCTGTACTTGGTGAGCCTCCAGTATGAAGGGAGGGCACTGCTCTCTCCCTTGGGGGGGGGTGGGGGGGACTCATGTGTCTTCCCCATTAGATGTACTGTTTCTTGAGGGTAGATGCACCCTGGTGTCACACCAGAAGTACCCTAAGGGAGAAGGCAGAGCCTCCCTTTTCCAACCCACCCCCTCTTCTATTCTTGCTCTATCATTATCCCTCATCTCTCCTCTTCCTCCAACATCTCCCATCTTCCCTCTTCCTCCTCCATCATCTTCCAATCTCTCTCTTTCTCCTCTAAGATCCTCCATCTTTCTTTTGAAAAAGTTTGGGCTGTGTGTGTGTGTTGTAATGGATTATGAGGTGGCAGCCAAAACCAATGAACGGGACCATGGGCTGCATTAAGAGAGGCTTAGCTTGCCGGCGATCAGGACATTGTCAGACCTTATCCTATGTTCGGTTCTGGACACCACACTTTAAGAACATTGATGAACTGGAGACAGTCCAGAAGAGGACAGCCTAGATTGTGGGACAGCTTGAGTCCATGTCATATGAGGACTGGAAGGAAGTAGGAATGTTTAGATGGGAGAAAAGAGACCCAGCAGGAGCATGATCACTGGCTTCAAGTATCTGAAGGGCCATCACATAGAAGAGAGATCAAATGTGATCTGTTTGACCCAGAGGGTAGAACCTGTACAGGGGTGGGGGAGAGGTGGATTTGTAAAGAGGCAAATGGAGAGCAGGAAAAAACCCCTAATAATTAGAGCTTTTGCAAATGGAATCAGACTTGTGGTGGGCAGATTCCTCTTCCTTGGAGGTCTTCAAGTAAAGGCTGGAAGACCATTTGTTGGGTGTGTGCTTGTGAGAAGGATTCCTTTCAGGATGAGCTGGTCTAGGTGACCCTTTAAACTAAAAATTTTCATATCTGTGTATCTATGACTCCAAAGCTAGCCCTCTATCTACCAAACCATGTTTCCTCTCCTATATTATCTCATTTGAGCTTTACAGAAACCCTAAGATATAAACCCTAGAAATATTATTACTTCCATTTTACAGATTTGGAAATCAGGGCTTAGAAAGGTTATTAAAGGACTTGCTATGTTTGGAACTGGGCATCCAGAAGATGTAGGCAATAATCCCCTCCCATCCTTCATGGGGCACATTTCACCCTAAATTCCCATTCTTTTCTCTTACTGCCAACAGAAAGGCAGCTGAATGATACCAGCATGGGGCTGGGGTTCCCCACTAGCTCCAATCTGGCTTGTTGCCACCCCTTCTACCCACAGTCTTTGTACTATAGCAAAGCCCAGGAGAGCATGAATGGAAAAGTACCTGTAAATATGAGGGCTGGCTTCCCCGGCCCGTTAGAGTTGGTTATGTAATACCCTGCGGTGACATTGAGGCTTTATTAATAACTAAACATCTGTCACAGCTGTAATTAGATTCTTGGTGCTACTATTGTGTTCCTACTTAAACCAGGGGGATGGGGTGGGGAGGTATGAATTATTTAGGAAATTTATTTTGAATAAATGATAAACTGGTTTCAGGCCAGGCAGTAAGTTTTCTGTCAACTCTTTTGCAGACTCTGGGCACCTTCGCTGCTGGTCCCTTGATGGGCTTACAAATCTCCGGGAAAATAGCGCACCAGCTCGAGATACCTGATGCGGCTACCAGAGCAACATGGAGAGGGGCCACCCCAGCACCAAGAAAAGGGGAGCAGAGGGTCCCCTGGAGGGAGTGAGGAGCGGCAGAGAAGGCAGACCCCTGATTTCCCTACCTGGCAAGTTTTTCCTCTTAAATATCTCTTTACCTGGTGGAACAAGCTTTTTGGAGGGATTGGTTGCTTAGAAATGTGACCAATCTACAGTCTGTAAGGGTGTGTGAATGTTTTGTGTGTGTGTGTGTGTGTGTGTGTGTGTCTGTGTAGTGTGTCCAATTGTCCAATGCCAGGTTTGGGGAGGGGAGGGACAGGGAGGAGAGGAGAGCCTTGTAAAGATTCAAGTCATGGGGAGCTGGGGGGAGTGGAGAGCTATCCCAATTGGAAAGCAAATATTGTAATAAAACTCCTGAGTCTGGCTGGTTTTAACTGATTATATTTACAGCCCCAAAGGAGAGCTTTAGCACTGCCTATATCAATAGCTCACAGAGAGTTGATCTCCTAGGGTGTTTTTCTGCCTTAAGGATGAAAACGTTGGAGTGGAGACTGGGGGGGAGGTGGTGGCTTGGGGAGGGCAAGACTCCCTCCTGACTATGCCACCCTGTCTTCTGGGTGCTGGGTGATGTGCCTGGCACGGGATGAGAAGGGATATTCCACTTACCTGAGACCCTGGTCTTCCCTGATTCCTTAGCTGGGGTGGGTTTGGGGAGAGTTGAGACAGTAGCCTCTTACTTCTTCCTAACACTGCTGATTTATTTTTCTGCCCAGAGACGTTCAAGGTGGTGAGAAATGCTTTCAAAATGTAAAGAAAGGGGAAAAAATGAAAAAAGCTGGAGCCCCAAACAAATTCTCCTTTTTCTGCCCCCTGCCTCCAGCCCAAACAAACTACTGCCTCTAGTGGGCTCCTGAAACTTCCTAATAGTCCAAGCCCTTTTTGAGAAATGAAAGGAGAGGGGAGATGAAGAGGAAGAAAAGGGGGAAATATCAGCTTGGAGCTGGTTTGGCCCAGAGGTAATTTCTGGCCAAGGCATTCTGCCTGGAATCTGCCTGTTGCCCGACTCAGGAAGGATCTGACCAAGGGCTTTTGGAGGATTAAACAATCTTCCTCTCTCGCAACAGAACCTATGGCAGGGGTGGGGGACCTGCGGTCTTGAGGCCACGTGTGGCCAAAGTGTGGCCCTTTGAATCCAAACTTCAGGGTGACACTTGAGGACCCAGAGGGCCACATGTGGCCTTGAGGCCACAGGTCCCCCACCTCTTTATGGGATCTCAGAGCCAGAGCCGAAAGGGACCTCAGTGATTATCCAGCAGAACCCCCCCCATTTTACAGATGGAGAAGTTGAGGTTAAGGAATTGGAGAGATTAGCCCAAGGTCACAGAGGTAGTGGCAGAGGGGATTTGAACCCAGGTCCTCTGAGTCTCCAGTCAGTGCTCTTTCCATGGATCCGTGCTGGTGGCCAAAGCTGTTTATAGTTCAGGCTTGAACAAGGTAAGGGGCCATAGGCATGGCTGTTGGGGGGAGATCAGGGAAAGCAGGGCAGAGACAGTCTTTTAATGATGGCTCATCTTTGAATAATCTAGCCTTTTGTTTTTGACTTTTCTACCCAGGAGTCAGACACTGCGTGTGTGTAAGGGCACAGTTTGAGGCAAAAACACAGACTCAGGAGCCATATAAATCCTGAACCCAATAAACCTCCTTTTAATACAAACTCGGTGTCTGAGAAGCAGGAGAGGAGGGAGGGCACAGGATGGCTGCTTAATGGGGAGTGCTACATGGTAGGGTGCGTCTTCCTTTTTCTCCTGCCATGATTATGTCTTTGGAGTGAACAGAAATTGGAGGGAAGCAGAAAAGGAGGGCCTACTGCATTTTTGGAAAGGCAGGCACACCACTCCCAAGGGCAGCTAAAGCACCATGGTTCATATGCTTATGATCTGCAGCTTCTGGAAGAAATTTCAGAGACCACATAGTCCTACCTCTCTCATTTTACAGGTGAGGAAACTGAGAACCATCCAGGGGATGTGCCTTACAGGATAATAGATCTAAAACTGGAAGGGCCCTCAGAGAACGTTTAGTCTAATTCCCTTATTTTACAGATAAGGAAACTGAAGCCGAGGGAGGGAAAGTTACTTATAGGAGCAGAGATTTAGAGGTTGGAGAGGTAGAAGGGACCTTAGAAGCTCTCTGGTCTAAACCCCTCATTTTACAGATGAGGAAACTGAGGCCTGGGAAGGTGACTTGCCCATGGTCACACAGATAGTGAATTCCAAAGGCAAGGTTTGAACCCAGGTCCTCTCTTTTTACTATATAATAATGTAGATGTAAAGGCAGAATCCCGAAGACCCTTACTTCTTCAATTCCACCAGGCCAATATACCAAAGCAGAGCGAACATGGCAGAAGGAAGGAACAGATCCAGAAGGTGAATTCCTTGCTATAGTCTTGTAAATAGTCTTTGACCTACACTGGCCTTGAAGCATTAATATTTGGCAGTAGAGATTCAAAGGAATGGGCAGAGGGGAGGGTTTCTGTGGACTGCTCAGTGATTTGTGAAGATATCCCATGGCCAACAGTTTGGGACCTGACGCTACCTGGGTAAAGGGAAGATAGTTGGCTGTGCTTAGCTGATGGTCTCTCAGAGTGGGAAGGAACTTCAAAGAACTCACAAATGGTTGTCCAGCCTCTGTTTGGACACTTCTTTCAGGTCATTCTACTTTTGGACAGCTCTAGTTGTTAGGAAGGCTCAATGTTCATTATCCTGGCATTCAAAGCCACCTACAGCCTACAATTGGCTTCAGCCTACATGCTAGCCTGATTTCATGGTATTCTCCTTCATGTGCACCATGCTCCAGTTTAACTGAACCATTCACTGTTTCAGAATATCATCTTGACCTCCATGATTTTGCACATGTTACCACACCACGACTGGAATTGATTCCCACTGATCTCTTGCCCTGTTCTCTACATTTTGGTGTCTTTCTCCTCCTCCAAGTTTTACCCTTGGAGCCCGATCCCTTTCTACCTTAAGGGATCCCTTCTTCCTTGAATGAATCAATCCACCAATCAATAAGCACTTATTAAGTGCCGGCTATGTGCCAGGTACCATACTATATTGGGGGCAGAAGGAGCAGAGCAGGATGGTAGTAACTGGTGATTTCCTGCTCAGGTTGGTGTTGAGGCAGCTATTTGTTGACTAGATAAGAATAATAGAGAGATATGCTATCCTGCCCATGGCATGTATTCAATATGCAACAAAGAGCCTCCTAAGAAAGCCATGTGGATGACAGTTACCCACTTTGGGTGAATCATATGGGTACAAATAACACTTCTAGAAAAAACCTAAAAATCTTGCCAATGACCGTGAAGTTTTGGGCAGGAAACTAAAGGTCGCAGCGGGGCAAAGTGTCTTCTGAGGTAAGGGACAAAGAAGAGGAAAAAAAAATCAATTTGGGAAGTAAACAGCTGGCTAAGAAGGTGGTAGCTGAGAGTGAGACTTAGACTTCTGGACCATAGCTTAAACATTGAGTGATGGCAGATTCCTGGCCACAGATGGAGCACACCTAACAATGACTGATCAGAATGTGTTTTCCAGGTGTTTTACACATCTAATCAGAAGAGTTTTAAATTAAAAAGGATAAAGGAGGGAGAGGACTGTGTGTGTATATTCCCAAATAGAAAGAGTAGCCCCGAGGAAAGAAGAAGAAAGAATAAGCAGCTGGAAGACTCAGAAATGCATAGGCTACAAAATCCAAGAAAATGGTAGTAAAACCCATGGCCTCAAGGGTCTACATAAAAATGTCTAAAGTCTGAATAACAGAAAAGAGAAAAAAGACTAATGCAAGGAGGCAAAGTTTACCTCACAGATCTCCCTGAGACTTGGTGGAATAAAAGCCATGACTGGTCTGTGAATTTGGATGGGCATATGTTACTCAAAAGAAGTAGACTAGATATAAGGTGGTGGTGGTGGTGGTGGTAAGGAGAGAGGGATAACATTGTATGTGAAGAAGGTATATTTATATGAGAAAGCCAGGATCCAGAGGGGGAAAGAATAGTGGAGAGTCCTTGGGCTGAATGTCAAAAGAGAGAGAAACAAAAGTGACTTTATTGTTGGGTATACCACAGACTACCTGGACAGAGAGAGGAAATAGATGAGGAGTTTGGAAAACAGAGCACTGCTAGTACAAAGGCATGATATAGCAGTGATGGGTAACCTCAATTATCCAGACATTTTATCTGTCAAAAGCAGAACTGTAAAATACCTTGCTGACTTGCCGTAGGGATAATTTCATCCATAAAAAGATTGAGGAATGAACAAGGGGAAATTCTATTCTGATTCTGATTCTCACTATGAGGGAGGAACTGGTTGCTGGGTGTAGAAATGATAAAGACCCTGGGGAAAAGTGTCTACTTCATTCTAGACTTTGTTATAGAGGAGGGGGAGGAAGTCTGAATGTAGTATGATATGTACTTTAGATTTTGGCAAGTCAAATTTCAGAAGAAAGATAAGATTCCATGCAGTTAAATGTTTCAGGAGTATTCGGTCCAGAAAGGATGGAAGATACTGAAGAATGAAATTCTGAGGACACAAAGGGAAGCAATTCCAATGAGGAAGGAAAATGGACTTTATGTGAAAAGATCAATAGGGATGCAAAGTAAACTCATTGAATAACTTAAGCCTGAAAAAGAAAGATGGAAACAAGGCCATATAACAGAGGGTAAAGATCAAAACGTAGCATGGCATTATAAAAAGAACATGAGGAATGCTAACATTTAATATGTGTTGAGGTTGGCAAGGGAAGCTAAGGACAGTAAGAGGGTTTTGTTTCATTTTTGCTACATTGGGAGAAAAAGGAGGATCGGAAGAGAGATAGGACCCTTGCTTGAGTTAGGAGGGAATGATGATAACTGACAGCCGATAGTAGGTTCAATTGTTATTTCATTTCTGTTTTCTCTGCAAAGGAGTATGACCTTTATACTGGGAACACAGAACAAACATAAGTAAAGAGTAGCTACCTAAGATACATAAGGAAATAGTAAGAAGGTATCTCTCTGCCCTGACACATTCAAGTCCCCTGGCCCAGATGAATTACATTTCGGTTCTTGAAGAAACTAGCAGATACGGTTGCTGACC